TTTAAAAACTAATAGATATCTGACAACAAATTTTATTCATATGACTTTTCTCCCAAGGGGATAATCTCTGTGTATGTGAGTGTATGACTGTCTCATCAGGAATGTTAGACAGAGAGTTTCCTACCACTGGGACTTATGTTTAACTTTCTAATTTTACCCCTTAAAGGCAAAGGTCTCCCAGACAGTGAAGTATGTTCTTCCTTCTGATAACACAAAGAACAGGAAAATTTTAACAACTATGTTAAAATCCAGCTTTCTAAATAGACTCTAGTTTCTATCACACAAAATTTAGGATTTTGCTACAGGGGACAATGCTGAGAATTCCAGGCTGCTCTGGCTTTGGCTCAGAAACAAAAGGGCAGGACATGCTTTGCCTTGCTTGTCTCACACACAGATGTGCAGACAAATTAAGGTTTTAAGCTCTGAGTGCACGGATAAACTTTCTAGCCACAGCACACACATACTAAATTAAAAGCTTTTGCTCAAGTGGAATCCTGCTTTGCATATAGCCCACATTAACCTCTATCAAAAAAAAAAAAACAAAAAAAGAAGAAAACATCAAAAGACTCTAAGCCAAATTTAATTAGAGGCCACAGAGTGCATTGCTTTCAAAAGAATAAAAATGATAATAATCCCTAGGCTCCTTGCTTACTCTAGACCTGTCTGCCTCTCTCCTGAACTATGAACCAACACCAGAGACAAGGTGATAACAGACAATAAAGAAAGAGAAAACTGATATGAAATAAAGGAAGAACTAATAAAGACAGCTGGAACTGATAAAAGAACACATTATTATCATGGGCAAGGGGCTGTGTTTCTTGGGTTCACCAAGAGCTTCAACCAAAGCTTCCACTTAAGAAGCCATCGGCACCACTTCAGGAAACATTCTACTGAGCTCTGTAACTCACAGGTCTCTAATCAGACCGCTACAATTTTAAACATAACGCAGTATTGGATTCTTCCACACATGTCTTGTATGCTCTACGTATTGGTCTACTTTGGATTTCTAAACATAATTTAAAGAAACAGTTTACTACCTTAATCATGGAATAAAGAGAGGTGGCAAAATTCTTCCGAAACTCCTTTCTAATGTTAAACAGATCAACCTCACTCCTGGACACCACGACTCTGATGAGTGTATGATCATCTGTCCCAGCTCCCTTTAAAAAAGAGAAAGAGGTGCACTGTTTACTTCAAATATGGCTTTAAATGTGCCTGAGTTGGGATGAATCAATAAAGTAAAACAATTTAGTAGAACTACACTGCATGTTTTAAGAAGAGAAAAATTCCCAAGGTCGATTATCTAATACACAATCAGAAATACAGAAAGATAATAATTAGAGAAATTTATCAGAGGGAAGATCTGAGATATCCATGTACCTTCATAGCATAGTAGAGGGTCTCAGCAAGGTAGGCAGGTATACTTCGAATAGACTTCACTGAGAAAACAAACAATCCCATGGTCAGATACTATTCTGATATAAAAAGGAGTAAGACATTAAAAATCAAATGTTGCCTCTTGCTTATGGCCCTACTTCTCTAAAAGCATAAAAGTAACAAAGGCTAAAGAGTTGCTTATTTGCAAGATAAACTGATTTCCTCATTCACCGAGTATTTTACTAGACACTGGATCAGGTATTCCTTGGAGTTCTAGCTCTATACAATACCATACTGCAGTTTTGACAGCCTGGGTTGTTATCACACAACCTTCTAATTGGTGATAAAGCAATAAATTATAAAAACGCCTTAGAAGTTTCATTCCCAGACATTCAAGCAAATAATATAAGGTTATTACACTTGGACTATCTTCCTGTATTCCAGCACGTGCTCCATATTCTTTAATACCTGTGGTTCACACAAAGCATGTGACCGTCCATTACAGCACCAACACCCAGGGACACTGACATCACAAAGGCATGTCCTTTCAGAACGTGGACGTGAACATGTATATGTCTAAGACTGCTCAGACCTCAGTCTGCTTAGCTTTAGAAAAACTGTCATGAAAACGCCAAAAATAATCTTTGCATCTGGAGTTTTCTTAATTCTTCCTTTTCCCGTGCTTAAGAAAAATAGCCACCGTAACTAAAAATGTCATAATTTTTACATGTATTCTAATTATGAAGGAGCTAAGTTTTCTAGCCAAAGTCCATTAATGACATACTCAAATGAAAGGCTACTTTTAGAAATGGTTCGTTTTATCTTTAGCCTATTTTCCAGAAGACAACAAACACAAAAACCTGAGCTCACTACCAAATACTTGGAGAACAGACAGCAGATAAAAGCTCACGCCAGACCCATACAAAAACTAGGAGCCCTGGAATCTCACAGACTAGACTGCTCCTGGATTTGCAGAGTGTATAATACTACAATGAGCTGCACAAACTCAGTTCCTCAATTTTTCCAGATTCTGAATATTTAGTTAAAACAAAACTCTCAATTATGTAGTCTGAAAACAACCATCATTACATATTCTATTAAATCAAAAATATTCTTTTTTTTAAGCCAAATGACAATGTCTGAATCTGCCCAAAACTGTGAGGACAATATTCAAAAAAATTCTAAAATTTCACAGATATCAGAAATAGTATTTACAACCCTCTGAGAAATGTCTACAACATTTCAGGTTCATAATGAAATAGTAACATGTTTAATGCAGCTTCAAATGATTTTCAAACAACTCTTCTAGCGTTTCCATAGGATTGGATTAACTAACCGTATAATCATGCATTTCCAACATGAAAACCAACTTTTGCATTGGAAATTTAGGAGTTTGCTTCACCCAAATATTACATCAAACTCTTCTTTCATAACTAGGTGGTTATTTTCAGATATGGTCTCAAGTGAATAAAATAATTTATCTTTTATCACCATAAATATTACACATACGTAAAAATTACCTACCAACAGCAAGAAGTAGTTGCTCCAAATTGCCAGAAGTCTCGCGGTCAATCGTTTCCTCAATTTGAAATCCTGATATAGTCATGTATTTGTCAAACACTACAAAAAATAAAAACGATTTCTCAGTTACATAAGGATGACTCTCTCCAGAAAGAAGGTACTTACTTTGACCAATATTGTCCTACCAAACACAAGTCTCCCCTTCCTCCTTGCTGACAGAACCCCGCATTCAGAGCTTCCTTGTGCCAAGCCCTAAGCAATGGATTACAAGTGTTCTTTGTTCACTGATCCTTCAGCTCCCTTACTAGTTATTATCAATGAAACTTAAAGATAAAGCTACTGGAGTGGATTCTGAGAAATCTTTCTCTTTCCTTATAGAAAATGGCAGAGAGACACTACTCGTCTATCCGTCTCTTTGCTGTGAAAATGGTTATATTTGGAGCCGCCACAGCCATCTGGTGATAACGAGGGAATAAGAAAACCAAACCACTAAGGACAGTAGAGTGAAAGAATGGACAGATCTCAGGCCCCTCAAATCAACCAGGGAATTCTATGTACCGAAATAAAGTCCAACTTTTAAAGCCACTATTACGGTTTTGGACACTTGCCACTCAACTCACTGCTCACTCACAACTACGGATGAATACCCAGAGCTGAGGCCTCAGGTACCAACAACATCTAGGAGGAAATACTTGTCGTGAACCACTACTCAGGAATCTGTGACTATGACAGTAACAATTTAGAGGTCTGCCCTCCCTTGCCACCCTCAGAGAGTCACAAGAAGGATCTCTAGTTTGTAAAAACCTTAATAGCAGCAAAGAGAATTATGAGATTTCCCCAGGTCACTAGAAGGAAGAAATATGAAAACCAGTTCACTCTGTAGGTACCTGCTATGTCACAGTTATTCTGGCATACTGTGTCATGCACTTTCAAAATCTGCCAAAATACCTGCCCCATAGACTTTTGTCACTCACCCCTTCTCAGATGAGACACACTTCGTGTTCCCAGGATGGTGATAAACTTTTCTTCATCTGTCCCCCACTTAAGTTCTCCAGCCCGAAACAGCGCCTACAAAAATGTCAAGGTCAATTAATAAATTGTTCTTCCATCTCATTTTTAAGTTCTTAATCATACCTTTTTTACTCTCTGAATATTAATTCACTTGATTTATCACTTTACAGTTTTCATTTCTAATGTTTCCTACTCTGAAACTCAGCTCACTGGGTTTGGAGCTATTTTGGAGCTTGCCACAGAACTGTGCCACAGATTAATGGTCAAAGCAATAAAGCCTAACAGCAGAGCAGGTTAAACGCTCCCAAAATGTCTACCATAACTTTTGATCTTTAGGAGCAGTGCTATGGGTCAGGGGGAAAGTTCTGATTATCTCACTCTTGACATATCCATTTACAGACCAGCAAAGAAGAATTTAGGAGTTACTTTCTGTTTTGCTAGTTTTATAGCAGTTTAATAGCACGTGATTAAAAGTAAACTTCATATTTTTCTTTATAATTAAGATTTAACCCAGGGTGGCTACAAAACATTTTCACATTTCCAAAGATCATAATAAGTGCTTTAAAGGTTGTGAGTGTTGGACAGTGCCTGGCATACATCAGGTACTTAATAAATACTCGCTGAATGGTTTGAATTCAGCTCATATTTCCTTTCTGACATGGAAGAGAAGATATGCTTTCCAGAGTTCATATGCATTAATAATAACATCAATGCTTGAAAAAATAAACATGTATACAAACATCATCAAAAATCCACTTATTGTGATGTGAATAATTTATTGAAACCCAAGGAATCAATCATTATCATGCCTATATTCCCTTTTAGTCATTCATTTCAAGTTGAGTATACCTGTTACACCAAGGTAAATATAATCTGCTGAAGCCACTGGAATTGGCCTATGCCCATAGTGGGAATCTGAATTAAGGATTGGAGGTGATAA